ATATGCATTTCATCCAAAATAATATGCAAAAACATGCAAAATAAAAATACCACCATTTATTTCATCGTGAGGACATTCGTGGACATTACTGACAAAATCAATAATCAGAAGTCGCAAAAAAAACATGCCGTTGTATATAAATCCTAGCCCTGGTCATAAGTCATAAACTCATAACTAAGAAACGAGGTTTTCACCACATAAAAAGGAGAGCTTTGTCTGTGCAACGTTGTTTTTATTTTTTTGATATCATTTATATGGAAAAAGTTCTTACTGTTTCAAAAATCATTATTGTTTGTGTTTTTCAAACTAGAAAAAACATTTTCTCGGTTCTTTCCAGTTTTTGTTATGTTGTACATTTGTAAGACGGAGACAACAAATGCGGGTGTAGCGTCCTCTTTATACCTATAAATTTAAAAACAATAACTAACGCGGGGAGCAGGGGCGTATACAAGGGGGGGATGTGGGGGTCAGACCCCCCCCCCAAAGGACTTTTTTAAATTTTATAAAATAGTGTTCTTAATGAGTAATGACTTAATGTAAGGAAATTACAAGGAAAAAAAATGGCAAGGATTTTTTGTAAATTTTTATTTTAACACAATATTTAACAATTAATTAAAAATAATTTACTTAATATTTAATCAGTGATCATATATTTATTTCATATTCATATAATCGTATTATGTGATATTTGATAATATGTATATTATATATACAAGACGTATAATAAATTATTATAAGAATAATAATATGTGGCAGACCAGCCACGGGCCGTCGCCACCGTCACCGATATCAACGCGGCGGAGACGACGCCCGCATGTATAATAATACATTTTCCTATACATTAGAAAAAGAAATATTATTATGGTATAATATAAGGTTATTGCACGATGGTTTTTACGCATTTATACCAAAACATTATCAATTTTGTATATTATCAACTAACATGGATATACCTACAACATACTAGCTAATTGCTATCAGTAATTTGTTCATTGAAAGCTAAAAATAGCTTAAATAATAAAAAAAGAAAATTAAATTTTGTTCTATAATTACTTATAGAATTTAAAATAAAATTTATTGAATATACATATGTTTTATCATTTATTAGGTATTTAAATGAGCACATACCTAGGTTTAGGTATTTTCGTTCCATAATAATTTGTTTGCAACTGATCCCCCCCCCCACAGTGGCGTAGCCAGAATTATGAAATGGGGGGTGTTTAAGTATAGATTAAAACCAAGTTTTTACAGTTTTCGTATATAAATAAATTTAGGGTTCGGGACTTGACTTGTTGCACTAAAAATTATCGAAATATGCATTCAACGTTTTAAAAATATGCTTAAATATATGCAGCTACATTCTTATATTATTTTTGAAAAATTCATAAAATATAATACAATTTTTGTAATAAAAAACTAAGAAATAAATAGGTATATAAACATGATAAAAATAATTTAAACGCGGGTATACAAATTTTAATATAGGTACCTATATATTGATTAATATGATGGACGGAGGACACAGCTATTGCATGTTTTTGACATTTTTAAACTATTGTTAAATAAAACTTGATTTTTAAAAATACTGGCATAAAATACTAGGTTAATAAATAAGTAATAACGAATAACGTGATATGCGAACCACGTGATAAACGAACACGTATCTACTGATTTTCATTTCTTCGTACAATCTAGAATCTAGATGTCAGTTATAGTTTTAACACAGTCTTGTACTCTTGTTGCAAAGAGACTTATAAAATCTTACGTACCGTATGCGAAAATAGGGCCAACTGTAGCCTAGATTCACCAACAACTTTAACAGCCCTCCCAAACATTTACTAAAATTTTTTAAGCTTATTCAATTTTATAATAGTATGATTTTAGGCTTCGGCTTCCCCAAATCTCAAAATTAGCTCCTATTGTACCTAACCAAACATATTATTTTTAAAGATATTTTTCAATGTTATCCAAATATGATTTTTCCCGACAATTGTACCTATGTAAGTACCTACATTTAAGTTAAAAAAATTCAATATATGCACAAATATACGAAAAATCGCTCAAATGTACAATTTTCCTATACAATATGCAAAAATATGCAAATTCAAACATCATTTGATAAGACAAATTTATAACTTATCTAAAATAAAACTACAAGGAGTCCCGAACCCTATAAACAATATATTTATTAAGTAGTGGCAAATGTCAATGGGGGGTGTTTAAACACCCAAAACCCCCCTGGCTACGCCACTGCCCCCCATACAAAAGTTATGTATACGCCACTGGCGGGGAGGTAAATAGGTAATGGCCGAGTAGGTACGCGGCCCGGATACAGAATATAATATTACAACCAATTCTTAGATTGTTTGCATGAAATAAATGTTTCTACAAAACCAATAGCCTTTTAAATAAATAGATTTTAAAATATTTTGTTTTGCGTTATTTTTCGTTCAATGTTATTCTATAAATTGCGTTTTGCTTTATTATTTGTTTATTGAAATTCTAACGTTTTGTGTAATGATATAGGTATAAATGTATAATACTATATTTTGGTTCCTATGTAATCGTTATGTTTTGTTTTGCGGTACTATTTATTTATTTTTGATTATTGCTTTCCGTTATAATTACTTTTACAAATTTCAATCGATTTTTATCAAATATAACTTTTTTTTTTTTTATTAGCTTCTAGTTTAAACTTTAAACTATGATAGGCGATAGCTCAACAATTACAAAATTGTACTATAGTACAACATTAAATATTACATTATGATATTGACTTAAAATATTAATATAATAATATGAATTGAAAACCTATAAGGTACAATAATTACATTTACATATCTGGCGATTAAAAATATTTTAATTTAATTTAATTATGAGATAAGAAAGGTCATAAGGTTATTATAATGTTTCCAAACCCTGAGGAGAAGATACTTTTAAGTTATAGCGCTTGGAGAGAGAGGTCAGGGGTATGATAAAGAGTAAAAGAGAACGTGGGGGGGAAATACAGTATTGGTTTCATAGGTCTATGATTACTACACTTTTCTCTCTTCTTTCTTTCTCTTATATGATTCCTGGACATTGATGGCAGGCAGGGGAGGAGCTACACTGAGGCCAGGGTGGGTAAGTGCCCCTCCCAACATTTGATTTTGCCCAACCCTATAATTTAATGTTGAACATTTTATTCTAATCTGTAAATGCATTTTATTAAATTCTATAAATATAGGTAATACCCAGAGCCGTGCCGTTACGATTTGGCGCCCGGGGCAAAATTAAAAATATTCGCCCCCTATTTTATTTATCATTATTCATTAATCATAATGCGTTTCATTCCTATTTAATTTAATTTAATTTTTTTTTACAACGTATTTTGAACATTAATTTGACAAAAAACTAAAGTTAATTGCAATAGTAATTATTAAACAAAATAGTTAGGTATAATTTATTAATTTATACCGTATTAAATAATTAAAAATGATAAAAATCACAAATTATATTATATTTACATGTTATATTTACAAACGTATCATAAGAGCCTATCATATATAAGTATCATGTAGTTAAAACTTAATTTTTCTGGACTTTATTGAAGCAAAATCTTCAATGACGTCTTCAAAATCAATGCTTTTTGTTATTTCATGCTCAAATGCTCAATTGATAATATTGCAGAATTGGTTAATCTGTTTTGCGACATGGTTGACCGTAAATACGTCTTAGTTAGTTTCAATTTACTAAAAGAGAGTTCCCCGGAAGCGACGGTAACAGGCATGGTAAGAAACAATCTATATGCAGTCATTAAGTTTGGACAAGTTGAATCAAGTTCATATTTTTTAATTGCGTTTAAAATATTTAAAGCAGTTGCGTTTAAGTCTGGTAAAATTGCTTTTACTTGATATTTAAAAAATTCGATTTCGTTAATTATTTCCTGGTCAATATCTTCGTTGTATTTGATAGCTAAATCAGCTGCATATTTTTTCAATTTTTCAACTGGTGTAACAGATAGTGAATGAGCAGAAAGGAATTGAAAATCATCAGCAATATTTGATAATTGTTCAAACCTCCATTTCATTTGAGCCATCATATTATCAAGAACTTTGTAGTATTCCAATGTTAAAAATTGATCTGCAGAAATATCTTCACCCGATGAATTTTCTCCACTCATAACTTTCCTTTTTATTGTCCTTTTGATTTTTAATTCAGATTTTATTCCAACTTTATCACAAATACTAATAGCTTCAGTTTTAATTTGTTCATTTCCACTATCACGCATTTCTTGGAGAGAAACATTTAAACAATTTATCATTTTTGAAGCCTGATCTATTGAAATATTTGAGCTTTGTAATAATTTATTTACACGATATATTTGATTCAATATTTTATCCCACATGACTAAAAAATAAACAAATTCCAAATCAAACTGTTTCAATATACTTTCTGCATTAGCAACCCCATCGCCAAAAATTGGATTGGTAGATATGTCACGTAAAGCTTTTATCACACCGCCAAATTGACAATACAACGAATGAACTGTATTATATTTAGATGCCCAGCGTGTGTCACTGTTCGTTTTTAATGTTATTTTCAAACACCGCATTAGTACTTCCCAGCGACTTGTTGATCCAGAAAAATAGTTAAATATATTTTGTAAAAATTATTTCATTTCAGAAAAAATTTGTAATGGTCCAAAATAATTGTAAAACAATAATCTTTCTCATATATTTTATTTATGTAAAGTTTAAAATATTATTAAAAAAAAATGTTTGGCGCCCCTTTAAACCATGCGCCCGGGGCATATGCCCCCTAGGCCCCCCCCCACGGCACGGCTCT